ACATCCTATAATGAGCTGTAATCCTTTTCCTAGACAATATGCAACTATGTCGCTTATAATGCTTGGTGGACACAAAGCCTTATCAGCTGGAACGTAGGCTGAACACACCACCAGTTTTTTCTCTCCTACTTCCGTGGCTATAGTTAGAACAGCTGTAACAATATCATCGGTGCAGAGTACCGGGATTTGTGTATAATCTACTCTATTACTGTGAGCTTTGGGTGTGTATAAAACCTTACCTTGTTTGGTTGATAGGCCGGCAATCTTCTCACCTATCCTCCAAGGCTCCTGTTGGAGGACCACATCAATGCCTTCTTGTTTCACGTTTTGCATGTTGAAGATTGACCTGCAGGACATTCCTTCTTCCATGGGTTTGACACACCCTTGGACGCTAGTCCTTATGACTGTATCAGCTCTACCCGAAGAAGGTTGTTCCTCTTCCTGAACCTCCATATGTAGGGAGGTTTTGCCTGTTTCACTGGAACGAGTTGCTACTGGCTTTTCATTCCGTGTTTTTGTCTTCCCTTCTTTGGGTCGGAACGTTAACCGTCCTACTCCGAAAAAGGATGACATTTTTAATTTCTGGAATTCTTCTCGAGATTCAGAATCCATTGAGAAGGTCCATAACACCCTTTTGTCTGAAGGTTTACTACCCCAGACTGTCCATAGATTTGTCCTGAGCCCATGGTTACTTATCCTTAATCTATTAAGGATCCTTTTGGACTCAAGACGTTCCCCACGCTCGTCCTGGACGAAGACAGTGCACGAGTGCGGCTTGGGTATGTCTTACCCCTCCACAGCCCTGAGAGATGCATTCTTCCAAGGCCTCAGGGTTGGAATCACCTCCTTTAGCCACTGAGCACTATGTCATCTGCACAGTTAAGTTTCAGGAAACCCGGCCTGTATGTACTCTTCAGGAAGCGAACCTGTGGTCCTGCTTCCGGAATTTTGTCATACGCACCCAAGATGGCTATTTCAACTGCCTTAAGCTTGTCTACATCCATCTTGGCTTCCGGGAATCCTGTTAGTACCACTGCAACCTTAACAGAAGCGGCAGCTTCGCCTTTGCAGCCCTAATTTCTTCGTCTGTCATGAGATCAACGTCTTCCAACGCTGTTATTCTGACAGCCCTTTTGTTTCCTTGCTTATCAGCTTGGGAGATTTCTTTAGAAATTCCGGGCCCTTCGGCGTACGGATTTTCTCCAGAAGCTCCCTGCCCTCCAGCTTTAGGAATGTAATTGTAATTTTGGCTCTGGAGTTCCCTGGCTCTTCGGCCTCGGGAACTCTTTCGCCCTGAGTTTTATCTTTATTTGTTTTTTTTTTTGAGATTCCATATTGATCCCACGAGTAGCTAGGGAAAGACAGTCAACCCATCGCAGAGCCCCGCTTGCAAGGGTAAGGTTTAAATACTATGGGGTGCGACTTGTTGCCCCAAAGGAACCGTTTGCGACACTGTCACCCCAGTGCCTTACAGCCTTCACCACGGTGTCTCACTGCTTGGCGTGGGGATTATTTATCGACTATCTAGTCTAGATCCGCTGAGTTTAGTTTCAACAGGGCCACCACGTGAAGGGTGCAATCAAAGATTGATTACACATCTCCAATTATTGTTGGGGGTACCCAGCGGTCTTGGGATAGTTTAAGGAGGTGCAAAGTCCTTAGACTCTCCGTGTAAAACTTTTCCCTTGAGATTTGTTCTTTTCCCGCTCAGCTTCAGGCCGATTAGAAAAAGAGCGCATCCCCCGGCCCCCAAAAAAAATGTAAGTCTTAGTAAGTGATACAAATATAAATAAATACGATGTATACTACTCGTTTACACACATTGTACATATATTACCTACCTCGGTGTTCGCCACATATAGCGTGATGGCATTGGCTACAATATGTAGTAGTCATGCGCCTCTTTTTACTCGGACAATGGAAACATGCCTTGCGTTTACTTTCTTCCGGTAACGGACGTTCAACTTCTTCTGAAATTTTAAGGACATCTTTAATATTTTGCTTCTTCTTTAAGATTTCGACGTAAAATTCAGCCAGGGTTCGGCGAGATGACGAGCCAATTCAACCATATATTCGTATCGGGATAAAACTTTTCCATTTGCATTTAATGTGTTTGTAGTGTAAATAGCATACGAGTTAATACTTGCAATATTTATCGTATTATAGAAGATACACAAAGGCGAGCTTTTCGTGTTACGACCCGCGTTCATATTTGAACACATCTGGTCAAATGTATCCACTTCACCTTTCGTTCCATTACAATCAGTTATTATAGTGGGTTTACCATTTATTTTAGAAACATCAGCACATTTATGAAGTGTTAAAAGAACTAAAACTACCTTATTTTTCTTCAGCATATATGATGCCAATGTCTTTCTTTTATTAAAGCAAAACCTAGATATATTGGGGACTCTGTTCTTCACGTTTAACAATTCCTGTAGAATTTCTCTCTTGTTTTTGAAAAAAGTTTCGATAATTGTCAGTTTGTACTGATTTTTTGATAACTCCTCTGCTAAGCTAACTGATGTAAACCAGTTGTCTATGATAATATTTCTGTTACTACCACAAACTGATTTTGTAAGTTCCTTTACATAATATGTACAAAATGGCAAACCATTTGTATTAGTTTTCTTGTCTAAATAAGAAATAGCATCGATCATATATTTCAAAAAGCTGACACACATCATAACGATTTTGAGACCATAGGAATTAAGTTTATCAGGTAAATAGATTCGAGAAGGGCAACGTCTTCGAAATCCTACTAACTGTTCATCAATAGACAAATGAAGGTGTATATGATTATCTGCAGATGATAATAAAAATATCCCATATTTCGCATATATGTGCAAAAGGATCATCTTGCTGCCGTTCTTTTCGTGTTTTATTTTCCTCAAACCTAAGACAGTTTATGAGATATTTGAAGCTCTAACCACTCATGCAGACCTGATAAAATTTTTCTGATATATTACTATCAAACATATATTTCATGCATAGATGATGTCTTTATTTGCTGCAAACATTATCAAAATTATTTCCAATAAAGCTTTTAGCTTATTCTTACTCATGCTAGAAACATTTTTTAGATTGTGGACAGATTCGATGTAAATATCAGGATCGAATTATTTTCTAATGCCCCTTTTCCGATACTTCTCAATCGACGCTAGTAATACAATAAAATGTTGAAGTCGTGGAGTAAAAATTATAGTTTTATTAACAGCTACTACAATTACATTCTAGTTGTTGGTTCTAGATAACTTTCTATAATAGACTGCTTTCAAATGTGCTCAAATCACCAATTTATAATTTCACAAATAATGTATACATCAGCACAGACTTTAATTCTTTTATTATACTAACAAACTTTGAACTATGAGTTTACAATACAATTTATTCTAGGCCTTTATTGCAGCAGTTAAGAAGTTCAATTAGAAAATATATTATTGGCAATTTATTAAGTTGCAGATATGCAGGTGAACAGACTCTAATTATTAAAATATTACTCGATATGTTTCACAATGTTTCAATTATACACGGTGAAACTATAAAAGGTTAAGAAGTTAAGAATAATGTGAGATAACAGAGTACGACATAATATATCATCTGACAAAAAATGTAAGAAATATTCTTTAACTTTTTTGTAGTTTTTGGGATTCCCTTTGGGAGCAACTATAAAATGAATAATATTTATAGCTGCTGTTCTCTTTGTATCTATTTTGTTTGACCACTTATGTCCGTTTTCACCTTTTTGGAGCCTTTTCTGGATTTACAATAAACTGAGAAAGTGGCGTTCTCACCTGATCTCCAGGTACTTATTATGTATATTTTTCGCTTTCCAACCATATTGCTTTTATATCTAGATCCATTAAATTTACAAATGAAGTGGTTACACTGGATGGCTGAAAAATTTCCGAATTACCATTATTTTTAGAGTCATATTCATCTAAATCGTCCGAATCAAACTCCAAAGCATCTTCTAATTTCCAGTCACTTCCACTATCTTCAAAAGGTTCCTGCTCACTTTCTTCACCATTCATTATACGCTGTATTTCACGTTTATTTCATTTACCGATAAAAGTTTTCTTGATGATATATGCTACAATGATATATAATCCGACAAGCGAGAACTGGCGGGTGAGCTGAGCGAAAATAGAAAAGGAATTATTCTAAGAGAGATAGGGGAGGTACTTAATCGCGATTATAGGTATATAGTATAGGTACTTAAACGGTTATACACGATGTGAACTCCTAGCCGACTGCAATAGAAATGAGCAATTGCTTCCACTTATCAATTTGTTCTACACGCAACCCGCCAGCTCTCGCTTGTCGGGTTATAAAACAATATTTACTACAAATATAAAAAATAATTAGACAATGACTTCAAAAACGTCACCGGCGTCCAAATACACTCGAGAGAAAAAATCTAACGTAGAAAGTGGACTTTCGTAAAATTGACGACGTGCCCTCAAAAAATCTAATACACAATTAGTAGTAATGAAATACGTCCACCATGTTAAATCAAGAATAAAGAAACAGCTATTAGGGAGTGTATGGGAACAGTTTACTCGATTGTACCCGAACTAAGTATAGAGTCAAATTTAGGATAGTCCACCTTTCTAGGTTTAATTAATCTGTAATACATATTTTAAATGTGTTTTATATTAGACTTTTATTACTCGACATTTTTAATATGTATATTTGTTTTTGTTCTCTTTTATATATTTTGCTGTTGCTCTCTAGTAAAATGTACTTATCAAGGAGGAATTAATTTAATCAAGTACGGTACATATATGACGGTTTTTTCCTTTTCTTTTGGTAGCAATTAGACTCTTTGCATTATTATTATCATACATGAATCACTGTATTCGAATGGATTTTTCTATATAACTATAATTTTTGTTTTAGGCTCGTCTATTTCTTTATTTGTTCTTATCTCTTTTTGCTTCCTCAGTAATGATTATGGAAATTTCGTTTCTATATAATATTTTGTTCTCTTGTTTTTTATGTTTTGACAAAGTGTCAAAAATGAGTCTTAGAATGATTAGTTCTTTCCATTTCATGTTCCGGTCCCACAACTTGTTCCTGCCAATTCCGAGAATAGTAGTTCGCCAGTTTGAAACGAAAAACGAATCATGTACTGTCAAGGGAAAGTCCACAGCTCCAAGAAATATGAGTCCAGTATATAGACAAGGTGAGTGGAGACCGTATTCGCCCTTTCAAGACACGAAAAATGTCGCTGAATGGACTTTGGCTAGATTAGATGATATCCTCAACTGGGGTCGAAGCAGGTCTTTTTGGCCGATGACCTTTGGCTTAGCATGTTGTGCAGTCGAGATGATGCAAATTGCGGCGCCAAGATATGACATGGACAGATATGGGATAGTATTTCGTGCTTCTCCTAGACAAACTGATGTCATTATTGTAGCAGGCACATTAACAAATAAAATGGCTACTGCTTTTAGAAAAGTCTATGATCAAATGCCAGATCCTAAATGGGTTGTTTCAATGGGCAGTTGTGCAAATGGAGGCGGCTATTATCATTATTCATATTCAGTTGTCAGGGGATGTGATAGGATCGTTCCTGTAGATATTTATGTACCTGGGTGTCCTCCAACTGCTGAAGCATTGATGTACGCATTGTTAATGTTGCAAAGGAAAGCCAAGCGCCCTAATGCTGTACAAACGTGGTATAGGAAAAATATTAGTCGGGAGTTCCAAGACAAAGTTTTCAAAATGGAAAAGAAGGAAAGAAAGGGAAAGACAGAGAAAAAACAAGAAATAAGTAAAGTTGAGACTTGTTGTAACGATCAATAAATGTATGTTTTTGTTATAGTGATCACTACTTCTTTCTATAATTTATTGTTAGAATTATTATTGAATTACGTGTATTTAATAGCTCCTTATGGCAGACTAAATTTGTTACACTTATATACTAATCCATAAAATTGGTGAATGATTTTCTTCTATTCTATTTAGTTATTCGATGATCTGTTAATGTAATAACATATTTTAGTCCCGACAGCCCTTTTCTTTTTTGGGATATTCTACCCTTTCTATTTTTATCACGTGACCCATTCCTTTTTATTTTGTGTTTATTGACACAGATTCTGATACCAGGTCGAATCTAGTTCTTCTAGATACTTATTCATTTGTCGTACTTAACATTCGATTTCAACTTTCAGCAAGGACTTTCGATTCCAACCATTGCCAACTTCTGCATACTTATGTGCCTTATTGGCATTTACAACTGAAGGGTACATTTACAAGGGAGGGATGTCAGAAATTTCCATTTTATGTTTTAATAATTCATTAGATAATATGTTATATTCTGTACTTCACTGTACGTAAATAACACTGATTACAATTGGGTTGTGTCTTGAGATAACACGAATAATAAAATACCTATACAGGAGAATAAAGGGGAATGTTAGGATGTTACCGGTTAAGAAGGGGGAATCAGTTGTTAATCACGCAGAAACAAGTTAAGATGCTTTTATTCTTACTCATTGTTTTCGTGTGTTGCTTTGAGGTGTAATATTTAAGGTTAGTTTCTTCAAGTTACTGATACAAAATCATTTTTCTATGCCAAGTGATGAAGAAATAAGTGGTATAGATGTAAGTAGTTTAGCAAATGTAAAGTTAACTAAGAAAAGAAAATCATTTGTCCGCATGACTGATGTAAGTAAAAAACTTAGATTACAAAGCCATGTTCTAGGGTCTGACTGTCACTATAAAAGTTTGCAATGTTTCAAAATGTTTCAAGGCTATAAGAACAGTATTTTGAAGCAATTTAATTTAATATGTTCTGTTAATGAACAAAACTCATATTTATGTAGTCTAGTTAGGTACCGTGGCCGGTCTCAGCTTTTGTGGAGTTAGAGTTCTGAACTAAGTAGGGATTCTCCAACGCTCCACAGAAGACAGACTGGGCGGAGAAGACCTCAACCCTGACACGGCGTGTCCCATATGGCTGATAGGGGACGTCCTGTATATTATACAGGATAGGTGCGAATAAGGTTCGCCAAATAAGCAGTCGCGGATGGTATAGGGCAGCAGATATGTCATTACTAACTCCAAGGCTGGGGAAGAATGACTTCTTAATAGGCTTGGAATCAGATACTTATGGGCGACAATCAGATATTGATTTAATCGGTTATAATACTGCGATGTGTAAGGCAAGGAGAAACACACACACACAATATTCTCAAGATATTATAACTATGGCAAGTTACGGAAAACAAAAGGCCCCTAGTCCGTGGCAGACCTTAGATGGTCAAGGGGTGCTAAGAATCCCCACGACAAATGCTAGGAACCACCCGAAAGTGGAAAACAAAAATTTCAAGTTCAAAATTGGAACCTGGAATGCAACATCTCTCTTTATGCCAGGAAAATCTCATAACATCGCGAAATAAATGAAAAGAATGGGAGTCAACATTCTCGGAGTCAGTGAAGTTAGATGGCCTGGATCTGGACAGATAAACATCGATAATCATGTTATACTATGGGGGTAATAACGATCCTCATCATTATAACGGAGTGGCATTTATAGTTGACCAGAAAAGCAGTAAATGTATAAAGAACTTTATTCCTATATCTGATAGAGTCGCTATGCTGCAAATTAATACCACTCCTCGTAATAATAACTTTATTCAAGTATATGCTCCTACAGCAGAAAAACCGGAAAGAGAAGTATGGGAATTATACCAAGAGATCAAACAGCTAATAAAGATCACAAAGAAAAATGCTGTAAACATTATTATGGGAGATTTTAATGCCAAAGTAGGTGAAGGGCGGATCGAAGACGTAGTAGGAAACTTTGGTTAGGGCCAAAGAAATGATAGAGGAGAAGGTTCAATTTTGCCAAGAAGAAAATCAATGATCGCAAACACCTGGTTTAAACAACCCAAAAGAAGATTATGTACATGGAAAGCACCTGGCGATAATCAAAACCGCATAATAAGAAACGAGATTGATTATATATTAATTGATGGATTCGACCGCTACTTGGTGGAAATTTATTTTATGTACAATAAAACACTGAAAACTTTGTTTTCAAACTTCCACAAAATTTATTTTAAACTCTTATCAATACAGCTGTTTCGGCTGATTGCCTTTCTCAAGTGATATATTTTTGTCATTCGTTTACACTTTATAGTCTCTAATGAAATAGGTTGAGGAGGGGAGAACTGTTTCTCTCAAGTTGGTCATTTCGAATTATATCTGTGTTTTTTAATTTGTTGATTTCCATAGATTCTAACAAGGTTAGCTTAAGGCCTTAAGCTATCCATTGCTATAAGATATTTTTATGGATTATCTAGAGACAAAGATTTCAAAACATCCCGTATTTAAACGGTTTTTGTTTTGGTGGAGATACGTAGATGACGTACTGGTATGTTTTACAGGAACTAATAGGCAACTCGATCATTTTTTATCGTATATTAATTCACTTCATAGTCATATTGAATTTACAATAGAAACAGAACAAAATAAATCCATATTTTTTTTAGATTTAAAAATTATCAGACTTAAAAACAAACATGACTTCTCCATATTTCATAAACCTACAAATACTGATACGACTATACACAATTCATCATCCCTTCCAACACAACATAAACTGGTAGCCTATCATAGTATGTTACATATATTAATAGAAATTCCGATGTCAAAATACAACTTTAAGACAATTAAATATCATTCAGCAAATAGCAGTAAACAATGGATACAACGAACAAACATTTAATAAAATGTTAAGTCAAAAACTACACAAGAAAGCCCTGAAATTAGTATTTCCACCGCCAGAGAAAAAAACCCAGTACCTTCTGCTCGATTACATATACAGGCAAAATATCAACAAAAATAGCCAAACACATAAAAAAGAAAGGAATAACACCAGCTTTCCGAACAAATAACAACCTAAGCAAATATATAACAAACAACAAGAGCCAAAATAAAAAACACTTACACAGTGGTGTGTACAAACTTAAATGTGGCGACTGCTTAAAAACTTACATCGGTCAAACTGGTAGAAACTTTAATAAACGAATAGCAGAACATAAAAGGGCTTTTAATAATAGAAAAACAAATTCTACATACGCACTTCACCTTCTAGATCACAATCATTCTTTTAATGACAAATTTAAAATTCTTCACATTCAAAATAAACTCCTTAAGCTATCCTTGTTAGAATCTATGGAAATCAACAAAATATAAAACACAGATATAATTCTGAATGACCAACTGGAGACAAACAGTTCTCCCCTCCTCAACCTATTTCATTAGAGACTATAAAGTGTAAACGCATGCCAAAAATAGATTACTTGAGAAAGGCCATCAGCCGAAACAGCTGTAGTGATAAGAGGTTAAAATAAATTTTGTGGAAGTTTGAAAACAAAGTTTTCAGAGTTTTATCTTTACAGATTATATATTAATTGACAAACATTATAGAAATGGAATCAGGGGAGTTAAAACATATCCCGGGGCGGACATCGGTTTCGACCACAATCCTGTTGTTGGTAAAATTTCAATTAAACTAAAGAAAATCAAATACAGAGAAAAGATAAAACCTAGCTTCGAAAAACGCAAAGATCCAATAGTACAGGCAGAAATAGAGAAAACACTCAATGATACACTCAAAGAAAAATTCAGTGAAGCACCCACGGAAGCAGAAGAAACAATAAAAAGTATTTGGCACATCTTCAAATCAACAATTACAACTATACAAAGAGAACAACAACAAGACAACATCACAAAAATAAAAAATACATGGATGACAGAAGAAGTCCTAGAACTGATGGAAATAGGGAGGTCTTACAAAAATCGTAATGAAGAAAAATATAAAGAAACACAGAGAATCATCCGAAACAAAATTAGGAAAGCCAAAGAAGAAGAAAAAGGTTAAGGAAGTCATAAATATGAAGAAAAAAATCACTATAAGAACTTTAGTAGATGATAACAACGAAATAGTATCTAGTCCAGAAAATGTAGGAGATATGTGGGAAAAGTACATCGAAGATCTGTTTAATGACGAGAGAATAGAACCACAAATGAATATAGTACAAGAAACAATACTTGATATATTAACATCGCAAATTACAAAAACAATCAATACGACAAAGCCACGAAAAGCCCCAGGTCCAGATGAAATATACGTTGAAATGATAAAGCTTATCAATGAAGAAAATCTTCAGACGTTAACAATATTATTTAACAAAATATATACCACTAGAATATTTTCAGAAGACTGACTTAGACCGACATTTATACTTATACCCAAGAAAAATAAAGCAAACAGATGCTCACAGTTCAGATTAATTAGCCTAATGAGCCATTTTCTGAAAATCTTACTCAAAATTGTACATCAACGAATATACAGAGAATTCGAAAGAAACCTGAGCGACAATCAATTTGGATTTCGTATGGGGCTTGATACAAAGGAGGCATTATTTGGCCTCCAGATATTATTACAAAAATACCAAGATCAGCGAAAAGACGTGTTTCTTTGTTTTATCGACTACGAAAAAGCGTTTGATCGAGTAAAACACACCGAACTCGTAGAAACCCTAACACAACATGGTATAGACCATAACACTGTAGCACTTATTAAAAAACTATATTGGGATCAAATGGCTTCGATCAAAATAGACAATCGTCTGACAGCAGAATTGCCAATTAAACGAGGAGTTCGTCAGGGCTGTGTACTTTCTCCACTGTTATTTAATATATATTCCAAAAATATCTTTCAAAATACCCTCGAAAATATTGAAGAAGGAATAAAAATCAACGGAGAATACGTTAGGTTTGTTCCAACACGCAATTTTTGTACGGTCTGGGAAAC